CTTAAAACTGGCGATATTTGGGTCTGGTTCTTGCACATATCTTGATTGTTTCTGTAATTGAATAACTGTAATAGGTCCTTATAAAGTAACTGCGACCGTATCCGCCTTTGAGAGGTACAGATAAATATTCAAATTATTATTCCATTTTTCTTTAAATATTTATTAATTTACCAGTTTAATATATCTAAGTGCAGGAAAGAAGCTTATCATGATGATACAAACTCAAGAGTGAAAAATACAATAATTGTTGTTCTGAGCTTATCGTCACTATGGCAACTCGTTATTATGAGGGGAATCTATTTGTTGCCACACGCCTCTTATATATAACATTAAACATATACGCCTTCCAGTGATTTCGAGACATGTTAGTTACTAGAGATTTCTCGGCGGCCGGGGGAAAACTATATTACCCGAAGACAGTGTCAGGTCCTCAGTAGTCGTTAGTTCACAACCGAGTTGGGAGTATTGAGATATCTGTGAGAGCTTCACCTTTTAGATCTGATTTTCACACGTTTTAAGTAGTTTGATGTGTAACCACTCATTGTCTTCTGTAATACTGAGAAGAGCTCTACGAGTGGTTGTGTGAAATGTTGCTGAAGTGTAAAGTGATTATTTGTGAAAATATAATTTATAAAGCTATCATCAATTCTGCATGCATTCAGTCAATTACGAACTCATACCCTGCAACACTATAATCTTCGTGTGATAGGATTTGTCAGTATGATCTGCAATAGTTAATTTCTTGAAAGCTTATATACCTAATTTATTTCTAAGCTGATGAATTCAAGTAAGCACCATCACAAAAGACTGAGCCCGTTCATTGCCCGAGCAGCGACAGAGAGGTTAAGAGCGCTCAACAGGATTAGTTCTACCTGTGTTCAATCCCAGGCGAACGGGTTAATTGCATAGCTGGTTTCTGTTGTTTTACTCATGTGTAAATTGACAAGTTAAATTGCTCAACGAAAACATTTTCCATCTTAGGCAAATAGCCGTTTTGTTCCTCACTATTTGATTATACTGATCAAACCTAACAAAGCATTTGCTATCAATATAAAACTAGATCTACTTGACGATATTAATGCTTATTAATGCAACCAAAGTTTTTGCAAAACATATAGTTTGCCAACATTTTAACAACAATTTTGAGCATTGCTGCTCATACTACAAATAGAAAATAGCAAGAGTAATAATTTTTGCTACTACATAGTCAGCCTTTGATTGAAATTTGAAAGCATTAAATGAGTGAAATTGTGCTAATTTTAGAGAACATTCCTTGCATTTATTTTGAAAATGCCTATTGAAAGAGTGAAACATTTTGTGTCACTAGGATTTATAACAAATCACATTAAGTAATAGCTACGAAAGGAAACTTTTGTATTTGTAAAAGAAGCAACTGGCACAAATTTACTTAAAATTTTTTTCTTCTTATTCTTTGCAAGATAATTTGATTGTAATGTATACAAACAACAGTATCCTAAATTGTTTCGAAAATGGCCGCTGTGTTGCGAACGGATATGAAAATGCCTATGTTGCCAACAGATATCTATCTCGAAAAACGACACCTTTAATGGTTAAATTTATGTATTCCTTGATTTAAATAAAAAGAATGAAATGTGTATGCGTGGGTATAGTGATGCATATGCCTAAGCAAGACAATGAAATTTTTATGTCTTGACATTTTTAGATGATTATTTAACAGATAATTCAAGATAATTTGATTAACATCTGTGCAATAGCATAATGTTTCACTTATAATTAAAGTAAATTCGATTAATTTATGTGATAATATCCTTAAACCTTTCAAAAATTGTAGCTATGTTGCGAAAGGATATGTAAATGCTTATGTTCCAACAAGACATCTATGTTAAAATCTGTTTAAATAATATGTAAAATTAAATGTTTATCTCCTTCAATGCATAATTTTATGCAATCCTTGATTTGGAAAAAAAAAAAAAAGAATGAAACGTGTATGCGTGGGTATGATTGTTGCAACATTTAGTGATGCATATGTGTAAACAAGAAACTGAAATTTTTATACCTTGACTTTTTTCAGTTGACTATTTCAATAATAATTCGAGATAGCTTGATTACAATGTATGCAATAGTATAATATTTCACGGATATCAAGATAATTTGAAGTCATTTAAAAATAATTCTACCAAAAAACAAAAAAAGGTGTAAAATGTTATTTTTGCAGAATCATTTTATAACAAAACAGGATACCGTGTAACAGATTCTAGTGGGAGAAAAAGCTAATGAACAGCTATGATTTTTTTTCCTTTTATTAAAGAATAATCCTCAGTAATTATACACAATGTTAGAACTAGAACCTTTGAAATATCACTCTTAGGTATATTCCAATAAAACGGATTCCATATTCACCTCACTTCTTAAGTTGCAGGCTTTTTGCAAGCAATGGAGGTACTCCTAGATGAGCGGCATCTTTTTCCAAATTTCTAACTGTTCTTCTAATGGTGACATAGCACAAGTTCTCTAACGTAAAACAATGCTTCTCTTTATCTATAACATAACTGAGCAGGTGCCGACTTCTCAATGGAAATTCGAAGTTATTTAAAGCATTTTTCCAGTCATGTGTCCTTAAATTCGCACCAAATTTGATGAGTAAATCCATGATTGTCTGGTTTCCAGTTCTGATCGCATAGTATAAGGAAGAGTACGGCCAGAATTATCACGACAGTCGATTTCACTTCCAGAAAAGAGAAGTTTCCGTACTAATATTTCTTGTTCAATCTCAATAGCAAAATGTAGAGCCGTTTTACCCCGGAGATCAGTAACATTTACACCACATTCACAGTCTATCAAATACGTACACAAATCTACACGTGAATGATTTTGAGAGATTGGAATAGATTTCTGCATCCCAGCTAAACTCTCTTATGGCAGTTATCAGTGCTGTATGCCCATTATTATCAGCATGGTCAATCTGCGGAAAAAAGTGTAATTAAACCTCATATAATTTAAAATATTTCAATAAGAATGGTTACATAAGCGATACCAAACAATTAATAAACCATAAATGCAAGCTGTTGAATAAAACACTCAGGGAACATTCTTGTACACATCATTATGTAAATGAACCTCTATGAATGAAGCAAAATCTGATGTGGTCACCACATAACTTTGTTGTATGGCCTATTAAATTATACACATTTTCTTTGCATTTCATTTAAACATTTTACTTAGAAATTCATTAAATATATATTTCTCATTCAATTAATTCAGTTCTCACTTCTCCGCAAGGCAAAAATCCATAACAACATAAACCATCTTCAATAAAAATGTAAAATCCAGAAAAACATAAAATAACAAATACGGTTAAAACATATATTTAGCAACAGAACAACCTCGCGTTTGGCATGGATTTGTGAACAAGATCTGTTAGTAGATTTCGAGGGCACGTAGATACAAGTTCCTCTTAACCAGGAGCAAAGAAATCTGCACGACAAATTCGTCTTTGGTTTACTACCGTTAAAAAAAAAAAAAAATGTTTGAAATTAAAATTACAGTTTCTACGGAAAAACAGGCAGTTTGGCCAGCGAGCAAGAGAGCAAATTTTTCGATACACAGAACTGAGAGATTATTTTGGAGGTATTGTCCAAGAAGATACTGAAATCACGGCGTGTGGACATTTAAAATATCTTCCAGACTTCTAAACATATGTTGCTACTCTGTTTTTAAACGTTTGCCACTTCGCTGTTGAAATTTATGTGGCGCAAGTGCTAGGAAAGAGAAACATAATAATAAAACATAAAAGATGAAGAAAAATATGTTAAAGTGAATCCAAGAAGAGCAGATTGCTAACCTGTGATGCATAGCAAGAGCATAAAATACCTTAAAACAAACACTCTGATCACACTTGAAAGACTTAAGCTTTTCCTAAGTTCTGTATGATTTAACAGGGTAATTGAAGCATACACCTCTGATGTGTTGTGCTTCCATAATTCATTACTTAGAGAATTGGCATGACTTTATTTTTTTAGTTTCGACAATGTTGCTAAAGGTTTATTATTTCGAATTTTTAAATTGTTATGCATGTTTAATTTTTGCTTGGGTGAAACAAGACTGCATATGGACTGAGTCCTCTAGTCCAATTGGAACTGATCATTGACTGGAAATGGTTGTGTTCGGGTACTTGGAGAGCACTCGCAGCGATTCATGGACTAAGTTCAAAACAAAAATGGAATTATTATGGAGGAAAATGTCCCATGTCACCGGGCACAACTTTTTGCGACTGGATTGAAGAATATTCTGGACAATTCCAGCGTTTAAGATTTGGCTACTTATTTCTCCTGAATTGAATCGAACATTTTATTCACATAATCCAGAGGCCACTATGTCCACAAAATCCTCCCTGGGCACGAATTTCGCGATAATGGAACTCTATAAGCGCAATATGGCTCAATATTTCTGCTGAGGAATTCCAACAACATATTGACATATTGAGTGCATGTCACATGCAGTTGCTGCACTTCGCCGGGCTAAAAGAGGTCCAACACGATATTAGGAGGTATCCCATGACTTTTGTCACCTCAGTGAATATTCAGAGTTGCCATGATGATGCCGTATTTCCTCCGTATTCTTTCCCTTGTCGAATGTTTAAGGAAAGCTTATAAAGACAAGCCTCACACGCACAACTTCGTTTAAATTAATAATATTTGAAACTAATTATCTTCTATAAATTAAGAGTTTATAAACAGCTTTAGACTTAGCACTTGATACTGGTTTTATTAGCTTGTACAGTTAAAAGGTAGAAATATGTGAACTGTTGAAATGTATATAAGAAGAATAGAATAATATATTTTTTTGAAAAATACTTTGAATTCATTACTAACACAATGGGCCATTTTCTCGCATTGTTTTTACATTTATAGTCAAAAGCTAAACGTTAACTCGGCAATGATATTTCTGTGAAAATGTAAGTATTATATAAAATATTACACTAAATATGTATGATTTAGAAACATTGATTTGTTACTTACATTTACACCAGCGTCTAAATGCAGAGATGCTATAGGTATTGCATATTCTGCTTTATTAGAAACAGCTTCCGAAAGAGGACATGGTAGTCCAAAAGCTTGGGACTTATGCACACTAGTTCCTTGTGACAAGAGGTACTTCACAACTTCTGGACAGCTACTTCGACATGCAATGTCTAAAGGAGTTCCTTTATCATTATCGAACTCTTCAAGAATATAGTCCGGGGATCTTTCAGTCAATAACTTCACAGTTTCTTGAAAAAAAAAAATTATTTTTAGAAAATAAAATATTTCTGTGTTCTACCAAGTCTAAAACAAGAGAATTTTTATGCAACTTAACTAATTATTCTGATTACTGTTTTTAATCTTCTGACTAAAAACAGTAGTCAGAAGCACTTACAGAAAGCAATATATTTTTTGCTCAAAAAACTTAAATATGCAGTATCTCAGCAATTTCTGAACTCTAAATTCATAGTTGAAGGAATTATGAAACCGAAAAGCATTCTTATGTGTGTAATAAGCAAATCTTGAACATATGTTAACATCTTGATATAAACCGTCTATTTCCAAGATTGCAATATTTACCTTTTCTTGGAAATATGAATTAATCCATTAGAAAGCTCATCTTCCATATATCGTATAGATTCTGATTCCATTTAAGGGTGAAAAAAGCATTAATGACTCCGGGAGCAGGTGAAACGAGAAATGAGTATTAGGATTTTTATCAAAATCTGTTGAGGGTAGAGAAGATGGTTTTCTAAAAATCTCGCTTTTGTATTTAAGGAAACAAGCGGGGAAAAATTGCATGTATATAGACGCAGACTCAGAAGCAGAAATGGAAACTGCAGGAAAACGCAGCATACTATAGTACTGTTGTTGACAATGTAATGTGTTTCGATATATTTTATAATTAAATGAAATTTTTTATGTGCTTCCTGTAAATATGAATTGAATATATCTATTTTTCTAAATTTTTTTTTTTTTTTTTTTTTGTTATTTATTTTAGATCTTTTGAAAGAACTGCTGATTTCGGTTTTTCGATGCTGAATTGAAAGCGGATTTGTTTCAGTGCTGATTTGGAGCAGAATTTGCTTTGAAAGAGGTTTTATTTTTGCTTTATTTAATAGCTTTCTTTTATTTTAAATTATTACATGTTTTGTTTTTAGTTATGCCACAAATGCACCATATATTCCGGTGTACGCCGTACCGGTGCATAACGTAATATAAATTCAAACTACATGTTTTACTTTCATACTTATTCGCTGTATAACACACATACTTTCCTTTACGAAGAAATCTGAAAAATACATGAGCGATGCTCTTATCTTCAGTATTCATTCGAAGATTTTCCGAGGCTTTTGAAGAATGGTATACTGAATGGATAAAGCGATAAGGGGGAAAATATGTGTATGTTTGGGAAATGCCTAAAAGCTGAATAATTTTGCAAAGAGAATGCGTTTTATTCAATGCAGAATAAAGAATGTGCACAAGAATGTTAGTGTAGTGTTTCGAGAAACGGAGGGTATCATTTGAAGTAATTATGCTCTTCGGAATTGAATGAATTTCTCAACCATAAAGACAAGGCATCATTCAAAAAATATAGTATACCTAAAAATCTAAAAGGAACGTAGATGATTATTTCCGAAATAGAATAAAATTTGTGGGGAAGATGAAACGAAATTCGATGACGTGCCTTAAAATATAGCGGAAGACGAATTTGACGAAATTTTCATATTATCAGGTAAGAACATTTTGAGAAGTTCTTTATGAATGACATTTCTTTTAAACCAAACAGCATTTAGGTATACATGTATAAATACTTTTGTATGCTCATCTTTTCCTTATCTTTATATCTATCATTTTTATATTCGACGTATAGCGCGCACCCGCAAACTTCAATGTTATAAATTGCAAGCTATACACGTTATCTAGATAAACGTGCATCATGAGAAACAGAGCTTTGCTTCCTAATAAAGTACTGAAAATTTAGCTTAATGCTTCCATTAACTGCAAGTCTTAGCTTTTAAAATTTATAGTTTCGTTTGGTTTCTAAATTTGCCAAATATGACGAATAAAAATTTATCTTGTAAATTTTCGTAATTCTTTTTTGTTATTTGTATCTGAAACATCTCATAGTGTAAAAATAATTTACTGTTATTATACTTTTATTATACATCAATTCATTGTTTTACATTTTATTTCTATTATGCTAGCATATAAATTGTAAAACATGAAAATGCATTTTGGGAGCAGACAATTTTACAAGCAAATAATTCACATATCATTTGTGTACAACAGAGCTTCGATAACCCGGAATTGAAGGAAGCATCAGCTCACAAAGAGGAGTAAAAATAACTTTTATGTCAAAGGCAAGTTACAATTCTCTTCTCATCTCGAATAATTGAAATGCTTATGAATTTTTTAGCGATTTACAAAAAATATATGCTGCAAGTGACCGATAATGTGTTTCTGGAAAGTAAATAAGAATAGGGCAGCCAGCCCAGGATATCTTTAAAGTGATGAATTAATTCTCGGACATTTTGGAGATAAACAGGAAGCTAGACCATGTGCCGGGACTTGAAGGATGGTCGAATAACACAGTTTAATGATCTTATCACTCAGCCCTCATGTGCTCTGTCTGTGTATTTGAAAAATATCGTTGTTAAAGGTGTAAATTTTTCCCTCGAGGGATTAAGGAGATGCTTCCTTTACAAAAAAAAATGATGGTTACTGTAATATGCTTTATACCCGTGATTCCCCTGATGGAAATATTTTTATTTGACTAATATTTATTTAAATACACTGCATGCAAATTTGAAATAATGTCGAGTAAATTTCTAATTCCTGTTGATGTAAATATAAATTACTTTTAATTTTTAAAAAATATTATTACATTATTTTGTTAAAAAAATACGATTATTACACTCTAAATTAAATTTTATGCATGTGAATTTCACAACTGATCTACAAGTTATTTCACTGCGTAAAAGAAGAAAATAAGTAAAAATTGAAAATAATTTTTTTGATTACTTAAAGAAGTTTTTTCGCAAGCAACACGTACAGGAGTTCGTCCGTCTTTATTAATGTTGGTTATGTCGGCTCCTTTCTCTAGCAGCAGTTTAATTAACTCGGTATCTGAAATGCTGGCCGCCAAATGAAGCAGAGCATTGCCTAAGGAATCCTTAAAATTCATATTCCAAAGATCATAATGGGGAGAAAAATCTGAAAATAAAGAAAATTCGAAATTGAAAAATTCTAGAAAGTACGTTAATACAAATTTAAGCTTGGTTTATTAAAAAAAATTAAAGACTTTCTTAGTAAAGTGTATAACAACTGTACAAATTCTGGATGGCTTATTGACATAAATATTGCTTTAGAACAGATAACTTTATGTTTCTTCTACTGATAGTTATCATAAACGTTAATATATAACATTTATAGAAACTTGTAAAAATATTAGCTCAAAGTAATCTTTAGATCACCCTCAGGGGGCTCACTTTTGTGAGTACGGGTGTGGCAATCCCGAGGTACCTTAGCCCTTCAGGGGATCATCTTCTTGATGAGACGGGTGTCACGATCCTGGAGCCCCATGATCTATCCTCTTTTCCGTCTCCTTCCTCTTGGCTGAAACTTTTTCCCTTCCCTTCTCCCTTGTGGTTTCTCTCACGGAGTTGGGCTCGTCACAAGAGACTGGAGCAGTCCTTGCTTCTAGTTTTCGAGTGGCGAGAAAACTGCCCACGTGTTTGCCGTGCGTGGAGACCCGTGTCACTGGAAAGGAGGGTCCTGGTAGTTGAGGGGCGAGGTACTATCCCCAACACACTGCTTTCGCCTCTGCTTCAGCTAAACGGGAGGCACCTTAGTCGTCCTCACGGGTGTCAATCGGCTGGTCACTAGTCCTTGTGTCAGTGGCTTGGGGTCAAGCTCTCGGGAGTACCTGCTTTCGGGAAAGCTGACTGTGGGGCTTCAGTTTGCGTATAGGTCCGGCTAGACCTAACACAGGAATCTGTGTTCCCTTGTTGGGCTCCGTGGTGGGCGGGGCCGTCGGACCCGAATCTTATAATTTTCAATCACGGCTTCCTTATTTATTTTAAAAAAACCTGAATCAAGCGACACGAATAAAGATATTGAAATCATTGACAAATCTGTGCGCAAGAAAATTCGTACCGATACAAATGCCAAAGAAACTACTGAATGTCCTCTCTTTATTGTTGTTACCAGCGCCTCAGAAGAATTTAAAAAGATGTCTCCTTTCCTGATAAACAAATACAATCATTCGTGCATAGGTGAGCCAAGGAACATAAAGCGTCTCCTTTCGGGAGACCTGCTTAATGATACCTTTTCGGCCACCGAGACTGCTTCACTTTTACGACAAACCAAACTTGGACAGGTACTTATAACTACGTCAGCGCACAAAACACTTAATTTCTGTAGAGGCGTGATCTCGGAAATCGATCTTCTGTGTGTTTAAGAAGAAGAGTTCGTCTCCGAATTAGCTGACCAAAAGGTTCTGTGGCTGCCAAGGCGGACCAAGATGCGTAAGGAAGGTCAGTTGATTGACACAAAACACGTGATCCTGACCTTCAAATCGCCTGATCTGCCGAAACATATTAAGGCTGGATATCTCAATTGCCCCGTAAGGCCGTATATTCCAAACCCCATGCGATGCTTCCAGTGCCACCGTTTTGGCCATTCCAAGATGTCCTGTCGTGGGACCCTGACGTGCGCTCGAAGCTCGTCGGTTGGCCACGATAGCGATAATTGCACCGCTGCAGCACCGTGTATTAATTGCAAGGGCAACCATCCAGCATTTTCCCGTTCCTGTCCAAAATGGAAATTAGAAAAGGAAGTTCAGACCATAAAAGTTTCTAGAAACATTTCCTATGCCGAAGCCCGAAGACAAGTTCAAAGCACACAGCCTCAATCAAACAAATCATATGCCAATGCCGTGAAATCAACCCGCACAATAGCCACCCAAACTTCCATAAGTACACAGACTCCACCAAATAAAACCCAGCAGCCTGCAAACAAGAAAAAGGAAAATCCAACCCATGTCATAAAAAATAAAGAAATAACAATCTTGAGCAAACCAAAAATTGTGCCTCCAAAAATAGTATTCAAAAATAGAAGCCGATCTGTAGATGACGTGAATTTTGAATCCCTAGATTCAGACAGTATGGAAATGGAGGAGGGAATGGAAGTTAATGAGCATCTACTTCCGTTCAAAACTAAAAATGAACACAGAAAGAACAAACACCAGTCATAATGGCTACCCTCGTCTTATGGAACTGTCGCGGTTTCCACCGAAATTTGCTTGACATCAAAGCTATGATCAATGCTTATCATCCTGTGTGCTTGGCAATACAAGAGACAAATCTGAAACCAGATCAACATGCAAAACTTCGGAGGTTTTCTCTCGTCAGGAAGGATAACCTTGCAAGTGAGCGTGCCAGTAGAGGTGTAGGTCTCCTCACCTCACTAGATTATCCCTCAAGTTCCTTTCCTTTGACGACTTCTCTCCAAGTTGTCGCTGTACAAGTAAACTGTCATATTGTAGTTTTAGTCGTTGTCTTTATTTGCCGCCTAATGAGCGCATTGATCAGCGGGATTTAAATGACCTTGTAGCTCAGCTGCCTTTGTTTTTTATCATAATGGGTGATTTTAACGGGCATAGTCCGTTGTGGGAAGCGAAGACACCAATTAACGAGGAAGACAAATTAAGCAGCTAATTGAAGACAATTGCCTTTGTCTCCTGAATAATTGGCAGGGCACATACTTCCATGAGCCTTCAAGGACATGAACCTTCAAGAACATCTCCACGCTCTTCGATCTTAGCCGCCAGTTCACCATCTCTGTTGCCATTTTTGCAGACTTTTAGTGTCGGAAATGACTCTGTACAACAGCGATCATTATCCCATTTTTGTATCTCTTGCACGAAGAGGAGCAAACCCCATGTCGAGAGTCCCCTCGGTTTATTCTGGACAGGGCAGACTGGGAACTCTTCTCTTCCATTGCAGAGCTCACAGATGAAAATGGTAAGAAGATGTGCATATCGATGATTCGCTGTTGAAGCTGTTACTAACTACTATTATTATTCAGGCAGCTATGCTTTCCGATTCCTAGAACATCAGGAAAAATACTAAAATATTCGAAACCATGGTGGAATCGCAACTGTCATGAAGAACTGAAAAGACAGAAAAAAGCATGGGGCATTTTTCTTAGATATCCGACTCTGCGAAACCTCATAGCCTTTAAAAGAGCCAAAGCAAATGCACGAGAAGTAAGAAGGCAGAGCCAGAGGGATTCCTGGATTTCATATGTGTCCTCAATATCATCCTCTACGCCTAGTAAGCGGGTTTGGGAAAGAGTTCGAAAAGCATGTGCAAATACTATTGGTGAGACATTTGCTGCCGTTTCTTCAAGCAGAAACTATTCACCTGCATTTCTCTCTATCAAGCAGCACTCTGAAATAAATCCCATCACATTCAACTCTTCCAAATCCGAGCCTTATAATACGGACTTTACTATGCTTGAATTAAGGAAAGCTTTGTTGCAGACACATAGATCTTCTCCGAATCTGGATGGCGTGTATTATGAAATGCTAAAGCATCTGTCCTGTAAGTCACTGACTGCCCTTCTCATTCTTTACAATAGAGTGTGGAAGGAGCGCACTTTTCCCAGTGCATGGAGGAGAGCTGTTGTAATTCCCATTGCTAAGCCAGGGAAAGATCCAAGGAATCCCTCCAACTATCGGCCAATTAGCCCTTACAAGTTGCCGTATGCAAACTGTTTGAAAAAGATGGTAAACACCCGCACCTAGTCTACTTCTTGGAAAAGAATAATATTTATATCGCCTTATCAAAGCGGTTTTCGAAATGGAAGAACTACCGTAGATAATATGGCTCCTCTTAGAGACATCCTATTCGTAAAGCTTTTGTAAGAAGGAAGTCACCTTGTCTCAATATTCTTTGACATTGGGAAAGCCTATGATAAGGCATGGAGATACGGTATACTTCGGGATCTTCACGAGAGTGGCTTGCGCGGCAACCTACCAATTTTCATTCAGAATTTCTTGAACACTAGAACTTTTCAAGTAAGGATTGGCTCTGTTTTGTCAGATGTTTTTGAACAGAAAGAGGGTGTGCCTCAAGGCTGTGTGCTTAGTGTAACCATGTTTAGTTTAAAAATAAACTCTGTATTAAAAGAACTTCCCCCCACCATCTTGGGATCACTATATGTAGATGATTTACAGATTAGCTGTCGAGGAGCAGACATGAGATACATAGAGAGGCAATTGCAGATTGCTCTGAATAAGATCCAAGAATGGTCAGACAAACAGGGATTTACTTTTTCGAAACAGAAAACTGTATGTGTTTACTTTTGTAGGAAGCGAGGTCTCCATCCTGAGCCTGAGTTATATCTGAATGGTTCAATTTTTCCAGTTACGCCCGAAGTAAAATTTTTAGGAGAGACGTTTGACCGAAAATTGACCTTCCTTTCTCATGTTTTAAACCTAAGAAAGAAGTGTCTAAAAACACTAAATATTTTAAAAGTGTTGGCGAACACCTCCTGGGGTGCAGAGCGTTGCTCCATGCTTCACATTTACAGAGCGCTTGTCCGCTCTAAACTGGACTATGGCTCAGTTGTTTATGGATCCGCTCAGCCATCAGTATTGTTAAAACTGGATCCTGTTCACCATCAAGCTCTGCGAATTTGTTCAGAAGCTTTCAGGACCTCTCCCGTTCAGAGCCTGTACGTTGATTGTAACGAACCATCACTTTATCTGAGGCGTGAGCAATTGTCCCTCTTGCAATATTTTAATATTCTATCCCAACCTGAACATCCCAATAAGCTGTACTTACTCGATAATGTGTGTAACAGTTTATTTGAAACGTGTCCGTCCTGCGTTCCTACCTTTCCTTTAAGAGTTCGCCCTGTCATTGAGGAACATTCCCTCTCTGATATGTGCCCCCAAGCAGTACAGAACTTTGAAAAAATTCATGGATTCAGCTTCTTGATATTTTCAAACATCACGTGAAGGCAAGCACTAACGAGATCGTTTACAGACAACTTTTCGCTGAGCACAGGCACAAATATAGCAGTTATTATCCGATATACACAGATGGATCAAAGTCAAATGATCATGTCGGGATGGCTTTTGTATTTGAAAATTACATAGAGGGCAGATGCCTGCACCATGCTTTCTCAGTCCTAATATCTGAACT